CAGTTGCGTACGTGAACAGCCCCCTGCGTGAACAACAAGTTGGATTTCGCCCGGGTCGCAGTTGCGTCGATCACATCTTTACGATCCGTCAGTTACTTGAACATCGCCATACGTCCAGTCGATTAACTGCAGTCATGTTCTTGGACATTCGAGCCGCTTTTGACTCTGTTGACAGAATGGCTCTTTGGGACTGCTTACTGAAGAGGGGAGTACCTTAGAAGTACATAAGCATTCTCCGTGCTATTTACCATCAAACTTCGAGCCGCGTGCTAGCATACGGAGCAATTTCGCCACTTTTCAGTATCACTAGCGGTGTTAGACAGGGTTGCCCAGCCTCTCCATTCTTGTTTAACTTCGCTATGGACGAGATCCTGGATATTGCCCTGGATAACTCTGGGTCCTGCGGTGTTGAACTGCTCCCTGGTGACCGCATTCGGGACTTAGAGTACGCCGATGACATCGCTGTGATTTGCGAGTCCTCTCAAGCCACCCAGCTTGTGCTGCTCAGACTGGAGATCTCCGCCGCCCAATTTGGGTTGAGCTTTGCCCCTTCCAAATGTAAGGTCCTATTACAGGACTGACCAAGCGCATGTCCTCTCACCCTTTCGGGGCATCCGTTGGAAGTGGTCCACAAATACATTTATCTTGGGAATTGTCATAGTATTGTCGGTTTGACGGATGAGATCTCCCTGCCTGTCTCCAAGGCTAGAGTCGCTTTCGCTAACCTTCGTCACCTGTGGCTTCGTCGTGACCTCAGCCTCGCTCACAAGGGACGTGTCTATATTGCTACGGTACGAGCGATTCTTCTGTGCGGCTGTGAGACTTGGCCGGTTCGCAAAAGCTATGTTCAGCGGCTATCGGTCTTCGATCACCGCTGTCTGCGAAGCATTACTGGTGTTCGATGGCAGCATCACATCCGTAATGAGGAAATCCGTCGGCCAGTCTTCAGATCTAGCAAACTCCGCCGATCGATTGATAGCATCATTTCACTGCGGAGGCTTCGCTGATTTGGCCATGTACTTCGCATGCCTACACAACTGCTACCACGACGAGTCCTATCTGCGAGCACAGGCATGGCTTGGAAGCGACGAAAAGGAGGGCAATGTAAAACTTGGATCCAATGCGTTAAGGCGCAAACATTGAAGCTGGCTGTTGTCGGGCGTTCCCGACTCCCGGGTTGGGGACCAAAGGACCCCGAGCACACCTGGTTGCAAACGTTGGAGGACATGGCCAAGGACCGTACGCAATGACGCACTTGCTGTGAGGATCTTCTACCCTAACACTTGTTTTCCCTTTCACGCTGTTTTTTTCTTATGTGTTGTGGCACTCAGCCAATTATATTGTACTTGGTATAGTGTTGCATATATATATATATATATATATATATATATATATGTTGGGGCGCGCAATCAAACCTGAATATGCTCTGTAAAGTGGTCTCATTATTTAGTATGCGCCTCTCCTTCAAAGTGCAAAGTGTTGCTGCAGGACCATCAGCCACGTGATGACCGGTTTACACTTGAAGACGTGGAATTTGAGTTGGTTGATCAACTCACTTCCCTTGGCAGCTGCATCAGCAGCCATGGGGTCATATCAACTGAAGTCCACGGTTTGTAAGTGCTAGAACTGTCTTTTTGGATCTGCAACATCTGTGGCGTCAGAAAGGGATTTTTCTCCGTCTAAGGGGACCTGTATGCAAGGCCACATTGAGAACGGTCTTGGTCTATGGTAGTGCAACTTGGCCTTTTCGTTCTGAGGACCTTCGGAGCCTTCAAGTATTTGATCCTCGTTGTCTCCCAAGCATTGTTGATGTCGGGTGGCACCAGGGTGTCCGCAACGATGATGTGCATAAGCAGTGATAACCAGCTTAGTTCCTTAGAACAGAAGATAGCACTGAACAAGTGGCATTAGTTTGGGCACTTTCTACGTATGCTTGGTCGCCGTTTACCTAGGAGGGCCTTGTTTAGTCTGCCAGATGTGGGGTGGCGCAAGGTTCGTGGTGGACAAACTTGACTTGATAGCGGGGAATGAAGTCATTTACTGCAAAACATGACGCTGTTGCTCCGTCTCGCCTTCCATGCTGGAGTCCACGTGACCCGCCTTATGCTTGACTTGAGATGTTAGATGACGTGGCTCGTATTCGACACCAGTGGGATGTCTGCTGTCGCGTCCTATTCGGACAGCCTGTTTAAAGTTTGTCTGATGCTGAGTTATTTGTGGGTTAATGGCTGATTATGACGCGGGGCAGTGAAAGTCACCTTAAATTTGCATGATAACCACCTGTTTGTGACGGTATGTTGTTACCCCAAAGTGTAGGCGTCTTGACCCCGAATGTTTGTTTAGAGTGTGAGAGTTTATGTTAGATCCCTCTTATCGCCATGTTCCTTCGGTCACCGTGGTTGTACTGCAACGAAGCATCAGTCCAAATGGCTGACGTAATGCTGTTGATGATGTTACATTTACATGAATCGCAGCTACCGGTTTCTCCCACTGTCTCGTCCCACAATCGGACAAACTTACCAGGACGTAATGGATATCATTCTAACATTACTGCTCTGCGGTGATCTTGTTTGTTTATATGGTACCTCAGTCGCCGCGCGCGGTACGGTATCTTCCACTTTCGGCTGTACTGATTGTTTCCACACTATACACTAAGAGAAAAACCAGCTGACAACGAGCCAAGCGTAACCCGATTGATTGTCAAGCGCGCTAATGCAGCGCCTTCCAGCTGATAGGGTAGCCTGGATGGCCTACAGAGGCAAGTACCAGAGCCGTTCAGTTGATCTGCCTCCGTTTTCTCCTTTTAACCCTGGGCAAACCATGATCAATTGACTTAGCGATTTCAACTGAACCTGCTTTGAAATGCTATCACAGCCTTTAACCGTTTTCGTACTGCCATTCCGTATTCAACCGTACATTCACCACCTAAACTTGACGTCTTCTGTAAATTATCGACTCGCCATTTCGTGTATTGGGTATATTGCATGGGTTTGCGTGCCGTTGCAATATCCCAGACGGTGGCCGAAAGAACAAGGCGTCAGCGGTTTTAGCCCCCGGCAACCGTCTTCCGTTGCATGGCACCGAAGCATCGATGCATCATGGTGCAACTATAGTACTGGTGGCCTTGTTTCCAACTGGTATGAATGTAGGATACTGTCCAACCTAAACCGGAGGGATGGCTTATAGCATTATGACTAGAGTACTTGCAACACATGTACCAAGCACAGGTATATTGTGTTGACAGCTGTGGCGGTTATCATTGGCCCCTGTTCTCATACGCCAACTCATTGTGTAATGGAAATCCAGATTAGAGAATTACAGATCGGTTTCTCTCAGAACTGGGTCGCAAAACGAACGTTTCAGTCTGCGGTGTGAGCCGAAGCAATATATATATATATATATATATATATATATATATATATATATATATATATATGCATGCATGCATGCATGCATGCAACAGTCTATGAATAGACATTGAGTCATCGGAAACCATGGAACTCAAAACAAGGTACAGAAATAGTAAAAGCAAACACAACACAACACATCAAAGTCCATGACGGAACCATGGAGCTGAAGCAGTGACACACTGTGTTCCTCGACTTGAATAACTGTCGTTGTCAGTCGCCCTCTGTCCGGTATTCTTATCCGGACAAATCTCGAGAAGTATGTAAACACCGCATGTGCCCTGTAATCAAAAGCCTGGGGTCGCATCACAGTCTACGGGGGATGTTTGAACGCTTTTCCGACAACGAGTAGTGCCAGTCAGTTTTATCCTATTTCCACATCCTGTGCGATTTTATCGTAGACTTTATAACGGAGTATTCTCTTGTGAATTCTTGTAGCACAGGTGCTGAATGCCTACCTGAGGGAAACTGATTGATCTGGATTAGGCTTACAGGAGGTGCTATCAATTGACAACTACCTGGCACCACATTTGATCAGCTGTCTAGAGTGCTTCCATCCTATAACTTATTTTCTGCCCTTCGAAGCGAACAGTGATACTGCGGGATCACCAGTCGTCTCCCTGTTTCTTTGTATCATAGCAATGTGGAGTTCCACACATTTATCTGACATCGATGTGGGCAGACGCATCAGTAGCGACGTTAACGTGACTGCTGCGATAAACTGACGTTTTACAAAGTAGGAATTGCTTTCATGAATCAGCGGCAACTCTATCATCATAAGGGAATTTTCCACACTTTTACAAGCCACAGTGGAACCCGTTTCCCTCGACATGGCCCCTTCAATCTGAATACTTGGGATGATTTCGTCTCTGACCGTCGTTACGTACGAATCATTGCCGGTATCAAATGACATTCTCGTGTCCGGAGTGATGGGATTCATAGGCGAGTATTGTGCAGCGGTTGTCGGGCCCGTTCGTTAGAGAAATACGTAAGACTGTCTTTATGACGTTGGCTTAGGCATCTGCTACTGATACCCGTTTGCCATTTACTTTGTGCGCTCTCGTTTTGCTCACTAGGTCTTGGATGGCGTTACGTTTGAATGAGGGATCTGGTAAAGGATTACAAGATAGCTGACCGCTAACTTGTGTGCTTTCTGTCCATCCCTTCTTACCTACCAGAGCGCACTCGACCTACTTTTAGGAGTAGTGGTATGTCATCGTTATCGTTCTTGTTGTAATCAACCATTTCTGATACTTTTGAATCGGTAGTTTCATTTTTCACTTTTAACACTGTCATTATTGTTATGATAACAGTTATTATTATTACTTCTTGAATCGAAGCAGCAGGAATCCATCGCATCTTGGCTACTATGGCATCAGTTGAACCACTTTGTATTGTTACTGATGATCGAGACCTCATTTTTATTTCGTTCGGTTGTATCTTCTCTCATGGAATTCTTACAGTCACTTCCTTTGCCCCTATACATTCGCCGTGCTGCTCAAATTGCCAATGCGTTATCTGCTAGCCTTCTTCTTATGTAGCACTACCACACACCTACTTTCTTACTTCTGTCGCATATTTTTCTGTTTGTAGACACCGTTACCTTTCAACTAATGACACAGCTGTTCATTCTTTGGTCACCACAACTGCTTTTAACAAGCGTTCAAAGATGCTGGTGACCGGATTTGAGAACGGCTCGATCATGCTGCACACCATTCCAGATTTCGCCATGATTACGGAAGTGCGGTGAGTGTGTGTGTATGGCTCATGTTCCCAATACTGTTGGTTTCATTCTGAGTCAGTACCCACCACTTCGAACGAAACGCTTTGTTGCCTGGCATTTAAACCCCCTAAGCATTCTAACTCACTACTACCCATACCTAATACTACGTCCAGCGATGCTAGCTATTTTTAATTTTCCCAACGATCGCTTTCGTGCCACCAAACTGCCACTCGCCTACAATGACAACAGTAATTCATTATCTGGATACTGCCGGGTTTTTGGTCAATAAAATTGACTTACACAAACAGCATATTTCTCTTCGGTTCCTGCTCGGCTCACATACAACACCAGACTTGAAAAAGTAAACGGAGCTTCACATTTAATATCCTCACATGGCTGGCTGGGTTGACTTATCTGTTACGAGACTTGTCTAAGAAGCACTTGATTCCTCAGTTGCCAAAGTACTTGTCTCATTTCTGCCTATCAGTTTGCCGAAGTTTTAAGAATTTCGGCACAGTGCACAACTTGTCTAATTGTCTAGCGCTCTTGTTCCGGGGCTTATGCCTGCCAACCAGAGTCAGGAATACACAGATACTCTGCGAGCGGTCGTTACACTGTGAAGACACTAATGAGCTACTTGCCTTCTGTCGTGGATAGAGAAGACATTTCCTGGCGAATCTACCTGGAGTGTGTTCACCAACATGACTCCGAGGTTAACCAAAAATCTCACAGGGAAATATGTGGCTGATGGGAGTGAAATACGCGCTGGAAATACACTAATGACCACAGCAGCTAACTCGTTTTGTAGTTATGTGTGTAGATGGCTATCAACAACTTAGTCTTCACTTTTTTAGCCTACAGTCGTTTTAACCTCAACGCTCGTTCCTTTATTCTCTGGGACGCAAGTTTTTCCTCCATCAATGCTAACTACTCCAAAAGCCTTTTTGTGGGCAGCAGACCTACTGGTTAATTATGCCACTTGCTGCTTGGCGTTTGGCAGCAGTTCGCGAGCCAACTCTCTAAGCAACCCTAGTTTGGACCTTAGCTTTCACTGCCGAACGAGATGAGCCATCTGACTACCAATTTGGGTCTCATGTAAGATCAAAGTATTGCAATCAAGAATTGATTTCTCATTCTTCATCCGCCCAATCGCGGTACAAAAGAGAGTATCCCGGCATCGCGGCTTCGAATCCACGTAGAAGTGGGCGTCCTCGCTGTATTTCAGCCCGCTTGCGACTGGTGATGGTCGCACAGCAGCGAAGCGCCGTGACGGCGTACAGCTGACACATTATTTATGTATCACGGCGTCTGAGTAAACGTGTTAGTATTGTTCGGGAGCATTGTTGAATGATCAGTGCCTGCGGGATAAAGGCATGTCGCATTACTCGGAAACGACGAAAACGGCGAACTCATCCCAAGCGCTGACCCAAGAAAGGCCACTGTTGGTGAAACCATATCCGAGATCCACTGCAAATCCATTTACATCACCCAAGAATTAAACGTTGGGAGAGACATTTTTAGCAGTGTTTAGACGAACCTACTCCATCATCACTTTTTATTGGTCTATTTGACTTCCTCTTCGATGGGCAGCGCCTTGCTCATATACTTGTATCACATCAGATGCTGGGACGACGTTGTGCATACGAACAGGCTGACCTTAATATCAGGGAGTAGTAAGGGGTTTGGGGTTTTTTGGAGTATGTCGCAGCACGTCTCAATCAGATGGTCACCGCACCACTAGAACGGTACTGGGCCGCCGTTCTGTCCTATTGGGACTCGTCAGTAACGCGCGCCCGCCGGACCCTGTCGGGTGAGCGCTTATTACCCTACTACCGTCCAATAACCAGTAGTCAGCTTAACAACTTGTTTTCCAGCTCGTTTGGTTGCAGGTTGCAAACGAAGTTGAAACTCTAGAGGCCAGTCTGGTCCTTTGCACCTTCTAACATGCATCATAATAGAAGATAAGACGTGATATACCGCTGTTACTAGTCAACCATGGCGGTATGTCGCCATGACTCACAGCACGGTAGCTCAAATCACGGACTCGGATCAGCCAGGACCCAGCGAGTATGTGGTACTGACGAGTCCCAGTAGGAAGAACCGGCGGTATAGTTCCTTTCTGGATGTGTGGTAACTCTCTCACGGAATCTGGCGTCTCAAAGGATGCTTACCCTTCTTCCTCGATTCATTTGTTCGCTCTTGGCTGTTGCACTGTTTTAGTCTAATGAGTCATAGGCATTCCATTCTATCCTAAACTATATACGATGACTGCCTTTGGCCTAAGAAGTTTACGGAGAGCTGTCTGCGTCGTTCATCACTTTTGATCAGACGGATCCTAAATGACTGCTATATGCGCTTTTTCTGGACGACGACTTGGCTCGGTAACCGACTGATAAGCTTAGAGCACATGCATCTAAGTTTCCTAGGGTCGGGCCTGGCTCCTACCTGAGCTGTACTTAAATGTTTGCCACATAGTGTTACATTTTTCCGTATGTGATTCGTACACCATCTTTCTTACTATATTTGAACCTCTCTGTGGCACAATTACACCACTACTCACCCTTCAATTATTTCGTAGACTTTTCACTAAGCCCGTCAGTGCTCTTTCCGTCAACATCAACGTCGATTGGATCGGTGTGGCATGTGCGGAAGAGGGACAGCTTGCTGTTTGGGAATGGCGCTCAGAAACCTGTTCCCTGAAAGCTGAGTCACACACAGGTCAAATGACAAGTCTAGCCTACTCTCCTGACGGCCTACATCTGGCAACTGGGGGACACGATGCGAAGGTGAAAGTGTGGCGTATTGCTGGTGCACGTGCTGTAGTCACCTTCACAGAACATACTGCAGCTGTTACCGAGGTAGTCTTTCCATCACTGAAACCTAAGGTCGTCGTTTCTGCAAGCTTGGATGGAACTGTGCGCGCTCACGATCTTGTCAGGTAAGGCTTCTGTCCATTCGAACTGCTTCGTACTAGGGAATTTTCGTTCACATGCAGTGCTTTCCAAGAAGCGCTTCCATTAAATAAACCATTGATTATAAGTTGTTTCTTCGTTCGGATTGTTTTCATATTTCTTTCTTCATTTCACTGAAATTTCTGTGCCACCGCATTTCTTTCATGCCCTTGTCAGGGCTAACGAATTGGACACCCCAACTTGACGCTTGATTTTATCACCTTCAGCAGTGAGCGTTTTGGTTTTATCATTGGACTTCTTTGAACCAATGGTCGATTTAACCAGATAACTAATTAGGCATATTTCCCGACAGGCGGAATATGATCCCTGTTGGTATAAAGCCTTGTAAACCAAAGCCCACCGGTTGTACTCTGTGAAGACACAGTATCACTTGCCCACCTGTGACTTGTGGTAGTCGCGTGCCAGCGAAGCTTTGGTTCTTTGTGTCGGCGTACTCCTGATGTATTCTCTCCCGATGCTTGCTTTTTTCACAAACGCCATTTGGACATCACGACTTTATTTGCCACCAATCCATTGCCACTACACATCAGTGCACTTCATTTCTGTAGATGCATACATCGATACATTATAACTGAGTCAAGTAAGATTTTCCTTTAGTATTCAACCGCACGCCACTTTTCTGATGCTTACTATAACCTGTACCATCGTCTCACTCATTAGATATCGGAATTTCCGTACTCTTACGGTGCCGTCACGTTTGGTTCAATTTGCTTCTGTTGCTGTCGACGGGCCTGGAAGTTTGGCTGCTGCTGGCGGGCTGGATACTTTTGAAGCATTCGTCTGGTCAATCAAAACTGGTGTTTTGTTGGCCACTCTTGCGGGTCATACGGCTCCGATCAGTTCTCTAGCATTTAGCCCCGATGTCTCTGGATTCGGTATCGAGTTGGCTTCCGTTGGGTGGGATGGATACCTTCGTTTGTGGGATTTGAGCGGAAACTCTTCTGACAAACATAACCCTTCCTCAATGGGTTTATTAAAGGAAGCAGTTAGTTTTTCTCACGATAGTATGTATTGCGTTCTCTTTGAGATTTTTTGCTGTCCATGTATAAGTCTCCTCCACATTACCTTTTTGTCCTGTCGTTACGACGAACTTTTTGCTTTACAAGCGTTAATATTTAAGTCGTTATCATGTCCTGCACCGCATCCTACCTGGGAACTTGGTACTCACTATTTCGTATAACACACTTTTCAACATATATATGTATGTGATATTTGGATAAATTCCTTAACATCCATCTACATCTTTCGGTAACCCACAGTCATAACTCTTTTGATACGACATAGTGATCCGTTCTCTGTCTGATAGTGTTTGACTGCTTTGCCTTTCCTCCTGCTAGTTATCTCTAAGCTATCGCATTGAGGTTGGACCTTAACGTGGTACAATGGTTCGGGTGTTTCAACAACGAAATTGACAAGGCTATCCTGGCAAAATACAGTTTCAACCCGAGGAAGATGCTGCGAAGTCTGGTGGTTTCGTTGTATTTCGGAGATAAACACGATCCCTAGTATTGGTAACTACTTAAGGTTGTCCCGTCTGATATGAGAAATGGGCAGTAGAAAACCTGGTGTCAGCGAAACTATATGCGACCAGAGGGTATAGTCTATTCCTAACTGAAACGTTAGGCTTAACAAGTATTTTTTCAACCAGGATTACGAGCTTCCTTACTTGTTAGTCCATCGCGAGAAGACTGCTCCTTAACTTGGTGCGATGGTTCGCGTGCCTCAGCGGTCTATTGAGCTGTGCCGGATGGTACTTTTTGCAATTTCAGATCCACTCTTACCACAGTGGTCAATGATTAGAGGCCTGAAAAGCTCTGTCCTTTGTCTCTCCAAGTAGGTGATTGGAGTGAGGGCGACCATGATAGAATCAGGGTCAGCAGCACGAAAACTATTAAGAGCTGTGGTCGCGTTTCGGACCTCAGCCTCCGATGGAGCCTCTAAACTAACTACTCATGGTTCAGCCTGTAATACGTGAGTAGGAAAAGGTCCAGGCGGAGGGCGCCATCAGAACTGCTCTCGAAGGCGCTCCGCCCAACGATGCATACGACGCTCCTTATTGAGAATCATGACACGCGCGCTGTCATCGGCCGGGACCGAGCGGCGTCTGTCCACCAGCGACAAGGAGACAGCAGTGATCCAGCTTTTCGACGGGTGATTTTCAATCACAACTATCATTGCTGGCAGAAACTAAAGCATTTTCAATGTGCATCCACTGTGAATTCAGATCATCATCTGAAGCTGGAATAAGCAGTGTTGATAGGGAGGCCTGGTATGTGGCTTACGTCGTAGGATCTTGTAGATTTTCTACGCTTGGTCGGTAGTGCGTACGCCTGGGCGATCCTCCGGAACGCATGCGAACTTTAGCACGAACCAATGCGTGATCGGACTCCAGGCAAGTTGACCAGTACGATCAGCAGTCTGTTGCGCTTCCGCGCCATCTGTAACTTGTTGTTATGTGTTCAAGCTGGGACCACTCTTGTGTTTGAGAAGACAGGCGCCAAGTAGCAGTCTATCTCTTTGAGTGTCAAAAACTGGTCCTCGAAAGGAACAGGCGCTAATTAGAACAAAGTCGGTTGTCTGTCTCTATCATTTGACCGACTGCTACCGAGGCCAAATCTACTCCTAGGATGGTGCTCGTTTGGTGCCAGGCGACCAACTTGTTAAGATCTCCGGCAAGAATGGTAATATTAAACTTTTTAGCGGAACGCAGAAGGTCATGTACTTCTTGGTAAAAGCAATCTTTGACTGCATCTGGGCTGCAGTTTGTAGGAGCGTAGGCGGATACGACAAATAAGGCGCGTGTAACATCTCGGCGCTTACCTAACTTGCATGAACTTTGTAGTCTGACTGCACATAGCCGACTGTTGACTGGGATCCACACAAACAGATCGGACTCATCGTTGTCATTCAGGACAACCCCAACACCAGCCTTGCCAGAAGCGGCTGTTTTTGGGTCCCCGTAAAGGCGAAATGGTATTTGACGTCAGGGTTTACCGGAGAAGTCATTCTCTTGACAGTAGTGGAGTTTTATAATCTAGTTTGTGAGAGGCAACTGACGTTTACCGAGGGCGTTTCAAGATTGCGGGCCGAGCATGCTTGTCGTCCGATCTGTATCAGAGTTCGAACATTGAACGCTGCGATGTCGAATGGAGAACCGGGTCGAAGAAAAGCTGGAGCTTCCGTGGAGTGTGAGAAGGCTGTGATCGTCGGTCATCAAATACCAAGAGTTTGACTTTGACTTCCTTCAGGTGCGATTAGGGAGCTGCTGTTGACGGTGACCGAGGAGGACATAAGTGTACTTGAATAATGTTAGTTGGGACGACCTGTGCGTGGCGATTGAGCAGTGGGGACAGTAGAGTAGGTAGACAGCAAAGCTGGAAGCAGTAGTATAGTTCGTTCGTGATTCGTCAGTGGGCCTGATACTACCTGGTTGCCCAGGCTGAAGTAAAGGGTTGTCTTAGAGGTCCTACCGTAAGCTTTTGCTCAAAGATCCAACCTACAGGGCAGCAGGGCGATATGTGGGCATCGCAACCCGTTAGGGGCTAGTGATCAAACAAGTGGTTCATACACCTGTAGGTTCTTCAAAGGACCGGGGGCCCAACACACCCTTGAATTACAATACCACACTGAGAGAAGCAAGGGGCCATGATTTTAGTTAATGTCGAGTCACATCCGCCATATCACAGAGTTGTTATGCGGGCATATTTGGCTTTTTATAGAGATGATGTTTGCCAAGACGAAAACGCACTGCCTCCTGGAACACTGTCGCCGAACCATTCACTGGAACGTGATAATCCCGTACCACCCAGCTGGCACCACGAGGGGGTTTTTCGGCCAACCAGCGAACCACGTACCTAAGCACGCAGCCTTACGCGTCAGCCTATTTCCTGGCCCTTGGATATCCGCTGAGTCCTAGCCAAAAATAGCCATGCCGCTCAAGAACCTTAGGTTTGCCACTTGGTCTAAAGGTATGGAGGAGATGTTCATTCCTGATCTTTTCGGTCATAAGTTTGACGGGACTGCAGATTGAATGACCATAATACGCCTCACTCAGCTTGGTACTGACGCCGAACCGCCTTTTGATGGATGGCTAAGCAAGTACACTTCGTCTTATAGCTTAGAGATGCTTACTGTTCTACGCCGACTTGTTTGACTTCCCTCCATGTGCTTGGATTGTGTCATGCAATCTCTGCTACCTCAGCTCACAGCAAACATCGGTCATTCCGATCACTGTGACCTTATCCGAAGTGTTGAGCTTTCGGAGTTACTGGCTCTCAGCAAACACTGCACGACCGGTTCCGTCCTTGGTATGTCTCATCATGCCGAGATAACCGGAACTTGGATTGGAAGAGTACCGTTCGGTCTAATTGGTAATACCAGTATCTCGGATAAGCTCATGTGTTTGTTTGCCCATCGGGTTTGACACTTTTGGTATGTATATTTCATCTTCCTTGTGGCGCATGTAATCTTCGCTTAGTTGGATTCCGTTCCTCCTGCTTATGTTCATCTCCTTATACTTCTGGTCATCATAGTGTTCCATTATAATTCTTCCACTTGAATGCCAGTTACGAATGACTAGCGTTGTTCGTTCAGTTACGAGTCAAATTTATCGCACAATATTTCATTCTCAGAGGCTGCTCTTCGTATCGCTATATTTTTACTTGCGACAAATATAGATGATTGCGATACAACTGTTAACTAAACATGGGGAAAGTTTGACGATTTTTCTGCTCACCTTCCCATTCCTCAAACTAATAAATGTGCTTTCCACCGAATTGTTCCATCATCCATTCCGTCGTGAACTCTGGCGCGGTGCCCCATCTACGTCCGAAATGTGACGCACCGGGCCACTTGTCCATTTATTCCATACGCTTCTATGTTTACAGCTTGGTGTAGCCATTTAGTGTTAACCCCGGTGCCATCTTCAGAGGAAGGTAGTGTCTGTGCACTTGTGTGTAACGATAACTCGTCGCAAACGTTAGCCCCCTTATTACTTTTTCGATCTAGTCTATTTTTACTAATATGACCTTAAAATCCTTTTCTTCTAGTCTTATGCGTCACATACCGAGGTGATGGCAAAGAGATTGCACTTAGCCTTCTTACTGGCGATGTGATATTCTACGATCCGATAGATGGCGTCGAGAAGGGCTCTATCAATGGAAAGCATGATTTAGGTGTCAGCCAAACGACCGAAGTTGATTTGGTTACTCCGAAACGCTCCGCTCAGGGCAGGTGAGTCCACGGTGTGCTAACGGTCTTACGCGCAACATTGTTCATCAACTCACGTGGTTCGGGTTTTGCAAACAATTCTCCTCGTACAACCGATCAAAAACTTTATCCCCTGTTTTTTTCACGTGTTGCTCATTCCTCGAGATACGCACTCGGAGGGAATCATTTAACAAGTAGACTACCTCGCCAGTTCCGTTCTCTCTCTATTCTCTTGCCAGCTTATCTTCGAGGCGAGGCGCCAGCTGTTGCCATGTCAAGGGAACATACTTTCACTCTCATACAGAGTTTGTCAACGATTTTACCCCCTATCATATAAGCAAATGACAGTTGGTCTAGCTTTACACCCCAAATCCGAAACACGCCGGTCAGACTGTTGCGCCGCACTGAACCTTCCAATACGCCATTAGAATTCCCGTAACTAAGCTGTGCACATCGCATCCCAGTTATACCGGTATTAACGGCATCAGGGTCGCCCTCACAAGCTTCCGGAGTGCATAATTGCACTTCATTTCAACATACTTGTACAACTAGGATCCAGGCGCCGAAATTCACTGGATTTGGTTGTCATGACTCCCGTCACCAGAATAACAATAAACAATGAAGGTGAAAACATTGAATTCAAATTCCGAAAGAAATGTAAAACGAATCGGGATGCAATAATCATTAAGAATTAGATGCAAGAAACCGAAAGCAGAAGAGCCACTGATTGCGACTCACTTCCGATATCGTCTCCAAACGCTGCTGTGAACCATCCCGAGGCCTCTATCCGCAACGAGTACACGCACAAGTCTGATCAAGTATTTCAGTCAACTTCTTCACGCTTTTATGCCACACCATAGAGTGGCTACCTCGCTTTGGTGACGCCATATTATGCACGTCGGGAAAACTATCAGCGAACATACCGAAGACATGATCTTCACATTGTAACCATTGGAGCTTCAGCAAACACTCGAGCGAGGCAATAGAACGCTTCTTGTCAAAAACAAACTGCCGGCCCTCATCATCGCACCCGGTGTTCCCACCAGAGGTGACCAATGCTCCGCAAGCACCAGTGGTCAAACACAGTCAAGTATTTCATGTCTTCACTGCGAAATGGCCTATTCTTTGATTCACACAGTAACGCCGGCCTTATCGCAGCGCTGCACAGCCTACCTTTTACTAACGCGGATATCCTGCCATCTCTACAGATGTTTGAGCCTTTGGAAAGTCACATGGACCGCTGTGCCAAGCGTTGCTCGCGGACCTAGGAGCCATAGTGGTCAAGGTGCCAACCTTTGAACACTACGCCTCGAGGTCCAACCCAACTCAGGCTATCTCCATCTGATGAGTCCAAAGGAGGACGAAACCGGTTATGGGGTGTCAGGGTTGGGAGGAGCAACAACTAACCACCAATCACATGGATCTTGCTGATACGCGAAATAACTTCCTCAGTAGTGTGACCATCAGTGGTGACACAGCTACCAACATAAGTTAACCGACCTAGCATTTCCAGTGGCTGTTCCCTGATACTCGATACCGGGGGCTCATCGATCCAGTACTTTGTATTTTGAAAGTGTGAAGCACATGCCAAAGCGTGCAGCGCTAGGCTTCAGTCTAGTGGATGTTTTCAGAGTATTTTATCTTCGTATGGACAGCCGAAGTAATTGAGATCAGGCTAACAGAGGGCACCTGTGCAAGCCCTCATTCTGACCTGGGATTAACGTATTTCCAGACAGCTTTCACTACACAAGCATGGTTGCGCATATTTCTGAATTACTGGACTAATATAGTGATAAGCCGGATGAATTTTTATTCCGTTCTGATTCAACGAACCTCTTTCACGCTTCACCACTCACACACACACTACACACGTTAGCTAGAGGTGGGAAACACCTCAGATACTGTGTCGCAATACCTAAAAGAAAAAGAATAAAAAGTGATCTCATCATCAATCCCATGGGAGCTGATACAACTTCCCTGATAGTTGAATTTTTGCAACACTTCTAGCTGATCGGCACCAAGGGTCAGCGAGGGAGGCGGTCCAGGCCAATCTTGGAGGAACGCTTTGCATTTCGATGGTGCAAAGCAAAGCCCGAAGCGGCTGACAGCCAGTGCTAATCTGTCCATTGCAGCTTGGCACATGTGGAAGCTGTCACAGATTAGGGCAATATCATCAGCATACTCTAAGTCAAGAAGTCGTTCTCCTGGGAGCAAATCCACACCTTCTAAGTCGTGTCCTGTGAGCGCGGTTTCCATGACTTCGTGAATAGCCAAGTTGAAGAGTAAAGGTGACAACGGGCATCCTTGTCTCATACCGCTGGAGATATTAAAAGGCGACGATAGCTTGCCGTAAGCCCTCACTCTGCCTGAGCTACGCGCGTATAATGCTCGGATAATATTTACATATTTCTCAGGTACATCTTTCCTGAGTAGACAGTCTCAAAACGTACCTCTATCCACCGAATCGAATGCATCTTTGATATCGAGGAACACGACAACGGTGGCTGCCAGTGTGTGTGACGGTGCTCCAACAACTGACGCAAGGTGAAGATGTGGTCAATGCAGCCACGACCTCGACGAAACCCGGCTTGCTGTTCACAGATATGGCTTTCACGAGTGCCATTCAGTCTGAAGGATTATCGAGGCAAGCAATTTGGAGGCGATGGAGATCAGACTGATTCCTCTATAGTTGCCGCATTCCGATCGTGAGCCTTTCTTGATATTGGGGACTATGACGGAGCGGCTCCAGTCGGTTGGGACAGTTTCTTGCTCCCACAGTTTCACTAGTAACTCGTATAAATCATCCACCAGAGCAGGTCTCCCGAATTTGAAGAGGACTGGAGGTAGATCATCTGGTCCCGCGGCTTTATTTAATTTCAACAGTGCGATCTCACGTTCGACTTCTGAGCGAGTGGGTGGATCTAAAGGGACAGCGCACGGAGCGGGGCGTTCAGTGGCCGGCGAGAAATCTAACAATTTCGACCCATTACATTGCCATTTAAAGTGCTCAGTCCAACGCTTCAAGCGTTTTGATAATTTGTGTATAGGCTATCCACTCTTGTCACGTATAGTTTCACTAACACCAGGTCTTCTGCTGCCCGTTTCCCGTATTAGCCGGAATAACTTACGATGGTTACCAAGAGCAGCGGCCATTTCCATCTCTGAAGCACGATGAGACCACCAGGATTCGCTGTCTCTTTTCAGGCTAGCACGGAGTTTTGCCCGGCGCTCTTTGCGAGTTTCATTGTGTTCGGTTCCAGCCGGAATAAGTCGGCGAACATCGCTGAGTTCCAGAGACTGCGAAGAGACCTAATGTCCATGTTGGCGATTAGACTTACCACATGAGGATTTGGCTGATGCTAGTGCGGACTGGTGAATATGAGACCAGTGTGCTTCAACTGCATCCAGTGAACGTTTACTGAACTCGCATGACAGCGTACTTTGATAGGCATTCAGAACAGCTGGTTTCGCCAGTTGGCTGTTATCAATGCGCTCACAACGTCGTCTTGGGCGTCCGCCAAAACGCATCCCTAGGTCAGTCAGCACATACAAGTGCATGGTGGATGTCCACACCTGTGCTCCAAATCGAGCGACAGTTCTTGACACAGCCTTTCCATCGGTAACTTATCGCGATGTGATCGATTTGCGTCCATAGCTGGTTCGAGGCTGGTGGGCACGAAGTCACCCTCCGGCGGGTGCTGTGTCGGAAATTAGTGCTCGCAAGAAATAAGCGAGCATCTTCACACAAATGAAGTAAGCGCTCACCGTTTTGATTATGGGAGCCTACACCATGTTGGCCGCTCAGATGCAGTTCACCATTGGATAATTTTCCGACTTGAGCGTTCAGATCTCCAGCCAGCACAACAGTGTCCGAGCTCCTTCTTGTCGAAAGAGCTGTTTAATTGGCGATAGAAATCGTCTTTTACCGAATCATCGCTAGAGTTTATGTGTGCATAGGCAGGGATGACGAATAGACACCTGTTAGTCCCGTGCGACTTCGAAGCTTTGAACGAGCTAGCCAATCGGACCGCACACAACCGGTTACTGATTGGAATCCAGTCAACCAGAGCAGCTTCATCCGGGGACTCATGGCGATACCAACACCGGCTTGGCCGGTGCTCGAAGCTGCATCGTCACCGGATAGGCGCAGTGAGAAAGTGCTGTTGGTGTCACCTGAAGTGGGACCACAAATATCTATCGCAAAGTGAGCACGGAGCTCGAGTCTTGCAGGCGAGTCTTGGATATGCAGCAGATATCGATCGTGAGGGTCTCTAATGTTCGGGCAAGTGCTGCCTGTTGACCGATCTGTAGCAGTGTGCTTACATTGAGGCATGCCAATCTAAAGGATGATCGAGGGCTCCAAATGGAAGTCGGTGAACTGGGCTTGGCCGTTTGGTTTGGCGTGGGCTTGTCGACAGGGTAGGAATGACGCTCCGCGTTCACATGTGAGTTGAAACTAGAATGTAAAAGCCTAGCAAAGGAAGGTGGGGGATGGCCAAGAATTGGTGGGTGGAAAACGGGGGGGGGGTCAAATTGAAGCTGGAATGGGACGGTAAGAGAAAAAGCGTTAGAGGGGGAATAAGAACATGGTGGGCTTGAGCTTTGCCAGCATACACTGTTCCAATGTTCTTTTTTATAATCGCCCTGTGAGATTGCAACAGTTGATTTTATTCAGCAGTGCTTGCGGAACCACTGCGTCAGTCCCAAGGAGAGCTATATCGTCCGCATACTAAACGTTTGTCAATCGGTCAAGTTACAAAACCTCTACACCAGAAGATCCTGGTAGAGTAGAGTCATTTGTGATCATTTCGATCATAAAGTTGAGGAGCAAAGGAGATATGGGACAACACCGGCGAACGCCACTTGTCGTGGTAACCTCAGTAGACAGCCTGGTGTAGATCTTGATCCTGCCTCTGCAGTCACAGTGAAGAGATTTCAGAGTGAAAAAAAGCTTTCCTGGCAGTCACTTCACGGATAGGCAGTGCCACCAGCTGACCCGATCAACAGAGTCGAAAGCAGATTACAACTCAAGGAGAACCACCATGATCAGTCGTCTGGAAGTGTCTCTACTTTAACACTTGACGAAGAGTAACTATGTGGTCGATACAACTTTAAGCAGTACTGAAACCGGACTAGCTCTCCGTAATTCGGTTCTCACAAGGACCAGTAACTCGTCGAATAATGATACAATAGAGAAGTTTGGAGGCAATGAAAAGAAGGGTTTTGTTCGTGGTGCCCTACCTCTAGTCTTTGACTCAACAGTCGTACCTGCAAGTCAATGGGGTAATGGAGGAGGTTCACTTGAGGGACTGCACCCGGAACACTTTGGTCAATAACTGACTTACAAGAAGGGAGAGAGAAAGTGCAGTTCGTTAGGGTGGTTACGGTGACCTATCAGGGTCTGCTTAGGGCCTGTGACACGCAATCTTTAAGGGTTTATAGCGGTTCATATGTGTTTTTTCGACAATAGTATTATAGTTATAGGCGGTCCGTGACGGGGGGGTTACCGTAACACGTTTAAAGGTAAGAGGTCGAAGAAGTGTGCTTCCATTGTCGTTATCGCTTCCTCTTACACCGTCGCCTTTATCCGGTACGATTTATCCTTCCCTCTTCCGTGCTTCCTTCGCTGCCTTCTTAAGATTGGCCTTTTATTAGACGGTTGTGATATGAGCATCCAGTCGCCTACGAGGAATTTATTTTGTGTTGTAGCTCCAAGTTTAGTTACGACCCGTCATACTACTCGGACATGGAGGAGGAGCTTGGAACGCCGGACCGGAAGAATATTACAGTGTGTTATGCAGTTCCATCATCACTAACCTCAGGCGAGTTTGCACCAATTCGGCCAGGAGGTGTTTGACTTGAACCAAGATAGTAAATCAATGAGCACCGGGTGGTCCGCTCCCACTGTCAGAGTGAGTGTGGGACACTTGCGCTCTACCCTAATCAAGATGTGAGCTTGTAACCAGTAAACCTGTTGTCTCTTATAGCTAGGTTTTAAAGGAAGTAGGCCATCGAACTCTATGGAACCTTCGAAGAGGATTGAATAGGGAGTCTGAGTTAGCCTGAGCTCTAACAAGTGAGTTGTCTGGTATAAGCTACTCTGAAGTTGCTTGTGGTGTATCACCCAAGGGGTCACATAGGTATGCAAACCTTCGCACCATATTAAGTTCGCTTCTTGTGCCGTCTAATCTAGGCATTATTTCTTGCAGCTTTTCCCCTAATTTCGACTTCGCGCCACGTCCTGTGTTGTTTTTAACCATCAGTGATTTTATGCTTAAGTCCCTTGACCGGAAGACTGAAGGGACCGCCAACAACCAAACCGATGGGCAGCGTCTCAAGGCTTTGTCGCAATGCGACAGGCTGAGATTCACCCAGTTTCTTGCTTTATAGTTGTGCGAGCGAATAGATCGCAGCGTGGTACCACGCTGACATGACATACGTGTTACTTGACTAAGGCATTTCAATTGGTGCAATAAAACCAGTCTGTAAAGAGGAACGCGGCCGCTATGCTGGAACTATCCTTCGCAAACCCCGTTATCAAAGACCGAACACCGACACATGGTACTCATACATATTAGTCTTAGACTGGCTTCCATACAACATCACCAGGAGTATAGAAATGTTTTGGACCTTGCTTTTTACCAAGGATGATACGGACCGACGACTCCATAGATGCCTCAGACTGGTGTGTGCTACCCTACTGGCAACAGGGAACGAAATCTTCCTTCCAGTGGTGCGGTCTATAGCTCCAAGGTGGACGAAACTGTGCATTTTTGTAAGCTTATTTTCTTAAACTGAGAGCACATGGGGCAGGTGGATGTTGGTCCTGTGACAGGATTTTACATTCCTTGAAGGTAAAGTTCATACCAAACGTAGGTGCCTCTGCTATTTGCGGTTTCTAATGATTCACATTCTTTAGGTCCTCTCACCAAATAGGGCGGTATCGTCAGCAGTTCGATTGTATGATAGAAACTGAGCTTCAGAATGTTGGAAATCTTCGGGTGCACCCAGTACGATATCATCAATGGCAAAACAGCACAGGATTGAGGACATCGGTGCATCCGCCTTATACCGCTGTTGATGACGAAACTTGGCGAGTTTACTGAAAACTCTCACTCCGCCCACAACCTTCCTTAAAAGACGACAATATACTTTTTGTGTGCCCCGTTCTTTTGCAAATCACGCCACAAATCAGCCCGACCGTCTGGATCGAATGTATCTTGGATGCCCAGAATGGCGAAAATAGTAGGCTTGTCGCACAGATGACGAAAAGGCGTCAGCAGTACGGCAATACGCAGTACCGACGCTTCGCTGCCATACAACCACCGGTCGCACATGGGCTAAGGATACTGCAAGAGTCGCCCGCCCCCTACGCAGGCTAGAACCCGCGCTGTTAGATAACAAGACCAGCTTGTTACCTTTAAGCTACGAGCCGATGCCCAGGGAGATTGGCGGATCGAAGACATACCATTTAGATGTACTTAACCAGTGTCGCTGGGGTTGTCTGCGTAGTGGGGTTGGTGCTTATCGTGTAGTATCGCTGTATCGTATTCAGTCCAGCCACTTGGAAACATACTATTTATGACACCTCTTAAACCGCTACCCCCGGTGAATATCAGTTTATGGCATTTCAAGTTGCCATAGATGAACGGTGCTTTGCTTTAAATCAGCTGCGGAGAGGTATTCTTCAGAACACATACGATAGCGATTGAACTGTCGCCTCGTTCGGATATTTAGCAATTTACAGCCAGAGTTTTCAAATTGAATTCGGTGAAATCACGCCTAATTTCCAACCGGACTCTTCGTGAGTATATCTCTGTGCCAATGTTGACCTCTGCCTTCCAAGAAGGGGCGCTTGTTTTCTTCAGACGACAGTCAACCTGACTGCTGGTAGTATTTGCATGTACTTCTCCCTGCTTGCATACGCGATGCACCTTACTCTGTAGTTCTAAGAGAATGTTCCAAGTGATGAGCATCGAGGCTAAAACCAAAGCCTCTGTCGTGATGGCAAATGTGGTTCCCGCGCGTCGTCAACACTCCGACTACGTAAGTGCGCTTTTTATGGCAATTTTCCTCCATTGGGATGTTCCAACAATCCTAGAATCACTTGCCCGTGGCACCCCACAACTCAATCACCAGCTGTGATGCGGCTACTTCTTGTGACCATTGATTGCCTATTTGCTGCTGAACGTCTTGCTCTAGCACTTTGGGGTGTTGTTGTGACAACCTAGTGCGATGATGAATTAGCTAAAACATATTCTTTCTTTGCTATTGAGGCTGGTATTGTCACCAATCATTCTTTCGATTGATCCTCCGCAATACATTGCTTTTGGTACTGTAGGTACTCCCACTTTTCACTATATCAACTTTTGCTTCGTAGTATGTGTGCATTGATTTTGCTGGCATTTGTAGCTTGGGGCGTAGGTGAGGATGCTGAGTTGTCCTTTCATCCGAGCCGTCTGTATGTGGGCGTTATGTCACCAGACTGGGCGAGACCAACTGAGCAATTTCCACTGCACTTCTTAAGCAGTCGCTAAGTTCATGGGTTGGTTGAGTGGATTTTGACCCACACACAGTGCCTCAAAGGTTTCAGGCCCCTTCTCGACTTCCCCTTCTATTTATTCGTTTTTTATACTTTTTTTAAGATAAAATTGATACTTCTCCTTATCCATGTACATACGTCCTTGATTTTTGATCATGTCGATGACCAACTGGGCTGTAATTCTGTAGCAAGTTTTCTTTCGGTCTTTACTGCGTTGTTTCCGCTGCTGTGGATGCAGCATATCTTATAGGTCATATCGTCTACCGTTGGCTCCTGACCGTTTCCGCTAGTTTGTGGGCGGTTATGGTTGCACTGCCACCTTCGAAGTTCCACACATGAGGTGGGCTGGTTCTCTTTATCTGCCCCGTTTGTGTGTGTGTGAGCTGCAGTGCGCTTTCTTGGTCTCAAGCAACACACTATTAGATGTACCTTTGTATCTTCATTATATTTGAATATTTGCTTACTGGAACTGTTAACGCGGCGTGTAGCTCTTTCTAAGGTCAACAGAACATATTTTCGCGCACATATTTGACCTCCAGTGTGGGGACTATTTGGACTCGATTCCTGTATGCTGCCTCAACCCATCTCTCTTTAATCTCTTCAGGAAATTCCAGTCGATTGCTTATTCCGCCGATGGAGAACACTTATTGGCGGCCGGAGATTCCAAATACATTTGCCTATACTCCGTACCTGACCGAGTCCTACTCAAGCGTTTTGAAGTGACCTGTAACTTATCCCTGGATGGTGTGCAGGAAGTGCACGATCGACGGCGTTTCTTGGCCTCTTGCTCCTCCGTTTCAGTACAAGCCAAAGCTTTGCAGCAGACTAGCCTTCCAATTCCACTGAACAGGAACGGCCCAGATCTCGGTATTAGGCAGCTAAGACCCGAGATCAGAGTTTCATGCATTCGCTTTTCTCCTTTGGGTAGGTTGGAGAGATAAGTCAGTCATCCATTTATTTCGCATCCGTCGTGCTGAACCGTCTTCTCACTGATTATGCCTACTTTATTCCCACTGCAGGTGATTCCTTTGCTGCTACAACCACTGAAGGTGTGATGCTCTATTCCGTTGCTTCTGCTGGGTCTGCATCCGAACTAGGGAGCTATTTTGGCTACGAACAAGGTGATCAGGCCTCGTGGTTGTTTGATGCCGTTGACTTGGATGAGGAGGCCACACCGGCAAACGCACGTGCTGCTCTCTCCCAAGGTCATTATGCGAAAGCGCTTGATATCGCCATTCGTTTGCGAATACACGAACTTGCAGAAGAAGTGATCGAATCCATACCGATGGATCAGAGTAAGCAAACCACTTTCTCCATTTGCTTTGATTCCCTTGATTACTTGTTGAGCTCGGATCACCTTCAAGAGTTCGATTCTACGCTCTGCATGCCTACAAAATGGATAACTCTGGGTGTTGTGTTTGACAACACCACAACTGATTGGATAAAACCCCTAGGTGGATGTTACAAATAGCATGAAGAAAGCCACCGAAAAACATAATCGGGTTGCCACATTCCTCGTTGTCTTTTTTCGGGTCAACCAGATCAGTGATCATGCACATCTCTTCGGACATGGCGGGATCACCAAGTCAATGACGCACTTGTATTCGTTCCCACCTTTTTGAACTCTTTCTTATCGGACGATTTTAATTATTGAATATCCCTTGTTGTTTTAATGGTGATGCGTCAAGGCGATCGAATCCATCACAACTCGGTGCACAGATCCGCGTTGACAAAGTGACACTGATCAGATTTTATATCTCCCTGCTTTCCACCCGTATGCCCATCAAGGGTTCTTTAAAGCTAGACAAGCTAATTAGTTTACTTGCACTCTACTAAAGGATATTTGCATGTCAAATGTGGCTTATCTCCGCGAGGGGCGCTAACGTTGCGTTCATTGTCATTTATTTTCCTCATGGGGTATGATTACTACGTTCCGTTCGCAAGTGTCCAACAACTTGTACTTGCCTGTGCCACCGGCTTCCTTTGAACATTGTGCCAACGTAATTTTTACCTACTGCGATCCATGAGCCGATTTAAGGGATCACATTACGGTGTTCTGTCTATTGGGTTGCACAAAGGCTGTTTATTCCATCGGATCCGTTCTTAATGTTGTGATTGAAATTACTTTTCGCCACTGCACTCTACCTTTTGGAGTCACCGGCCTGCGGCCTTAAGGTAACAAGCTTGTTTTGTAATCTGACGACGCGGGTTCGAGCACAGCGACCCTAGCCCGCATGCGAACGACGGTAGTTGCGCGGCAACCAGGCGTCGGTACTGCGTACCGGCGTACTGCTGAAGCCTTTATTTTCTTTCTTTTGGTGTTTCACTGAGCAATCGGCTAATAAAAATCTCGCGATCGATGCTCCTCTCTTTGGACTTGGCCATGGCTTCTTACATTGATAAATGTGCTCACGAAGAACGCTACATGCTTAGAATTACGAGGTATTGTTGTGGAACTGAGTGATATCCTTGCTAGGTCTCTCTGACACCGAACAGCCGCCAGCTCTTGTTAAACACTTCGTCCATCTGGCTTGCTGTATCAGTTTCGTTAGTCAACGCACCGAAGGGATTACCGCTGGTGTCGATAGGTCCTGGTTGAGATTACAAAGCTTCATGCTGGCATCCACCCAACTAAGCGACTGAACGCACAACGTTGCGGCTCGCCTAATGTTAATATTTCCTGCTCTTTGAAGACTAATGGATTATTCATCTTTCTGCACAATTACATGCGGAGCGTCTGGCTGGAGTACCAAGTTAGTGTTACCATTATCTCCCGTTTAGTCTTTGTTATACCCTAACGAATCCTCTGTTTAAATCGTGCTAGGTCACAAATCCGCATGTCAAGTCTGGGAGCATGTAGCACTGGTATTATGTTGCAAAGCTGAGGATACGGATAGTTCGATTGACTGAATGGATTTTGCTAATGCCAGAAAGTAGTGGTCTAAGGCGATAAATGTCGGCCGATGTATCTTGTCCAACGCGACTCAATATTATATCTGAATCGCTCTGGTTGTGTTATCCCTTATCAGATCCTTTTTCATGTCACATTTCGGCATATATGCATATGGATACTCTTCACTGGTACTTGTTGGATTTCTGAATTCGACTCACCAGTTTGCGTATGAAATTCTTCCGAGGGGATTTCTAGCGAGAACTGTTGACTGGGGACATCGGCCGTCGACGTGTGATGCACATAATTTGATATGAATGAGGAGTCGGCGAACCGTTCTAACAGGGGTTATTTATTCAAGTCATTTTTTCTGTATAAGGGGAAATGAATGTTATGTGATCGTTGTATTTCACGAAAAATTGATTGAGAAAATGTTGGCAAAATCGTCGTTGCATTTCCCCTTCAAACTATAGCCGGTATGGAGCCCATTCTGAGGACCACGTGTATGGCGGAACCAACCAGTTTGAGGGCCACTGGGAGGTATATGCACGCGATTCCTTATCTAGTTCGATACATTGACAAGCGTGGCTCAGTCCAGTTTTGTAAAATCTCATCACTAGAGAGGTATGCGTAATTGTCTTCTTCAGCAGCACATCTCGGTCAAGACGTGATCTCTGGTATTCTGTCATCTTATGCCTCCATGATCCCATCGTTTTTCGGCACTCACTATGGGAGTTACCAACTTTGAGCACCGGGCGGATTCCATTGTACTTTTTATGCGGGTAAGCCTAGCTCATTGTCAAACTTATCAGAAAGAATGTAAGGTAGAGTACACGCCCCACCAAAATGTAGAACCAGTCTCACTTAGTTTGATCGCGCACTGTGTTCGGCCAACTACCGCGTTGTTTTGACTGCACTTCTACTACCTGGATGTTCGACCTAATACTGGATAGACCCTTAGTCCAGTGCAACCATGTGTGTTCGGGCCTGCCTTAAGGACACATCATCATCATCGTCATCAACAGCAGTACATCAGCCATTTGAACTGATGCTTCGCTGCCATACAACCATGAGGACCTATGGAATAAAGAATAAGAAGAGGGAGAGAAGAGGGACTTACCTGAAAACCTTAATGCCTTAAGCAAACATTCAGGGTCAAGGCGCCTACACCTTGTGTAGACAACATACCGTCACAAACAGCTGGCTATCGTGCAAAGATAAGGCGGCATCGGCGAGACAGCTTCCTTGCGGCTTTCACTGCCCCGCGTCATAATCAGCCATTACCCCGCAGATAACTCAGCACCAAACACACTTGAAATAGGCAATCCGATTAGGAGACGGCAGCAGACGCGCCACTGGTGTCTACTGCGAGCCATGTCCTGTAAAGTCTCAAGCCAAGCACAAGGCGAATCACGTGGACTCCAGCCCGGAAGGCGAGACGGACCAGCGGTACCCAGTTTGGTCGTCAGTGACTTCATTTCCCGTTGCTAAGTCAACTTCTGTCCACCGCGAGCCTTGCGCCACCGTACACCTGGTAGACTAAACAAGGCCCTCGTAGGTAAGCGGTGACCAGGCATACGTAGCAGGTGCCCGAGCCAACGCAACTTATTCAGTGCTATCTGTTGTTCTAGGGAGCTAGCATGATTATCACTACCTGGTACTTGCCTACGCACATCATCATTGCGGACACGCTGGTGCCATCCGACACCAGCAATGCTTCGCAAACAACGATGATCAAAGACTTGAAGGCGCCTCAGATCTTCAGACCGAAGGGGCCAAGTCTCACTACCATAGAGCAGAACGGCCCTCACTGCGGCCTTGTATACCCGGCCTTCCAGACGGAGGGAAACTTCCTTCTGTCGCCAAAGATGCCTCTGGTTCAAGAAGGTAGCTCTGGCTTTTGTAGTGCGTGAGCTGACGTCAATTTCTATGCGCCCATCATTGCTGATGCAGCTGCCAAGATAAGTGAATTGATCAACCACCTCGAGTTCCTCATTAGCAAGCGTCAAGGGGTCATCGAGTGGCTGGTGGTCCTGCAGCAACACTTTGCACTTTGAAGGTGCGAAGTGCATACCAAATAATGGAACCACTCTGGACAGGCTATTCGGGGTTGATTGTGCCGCCCCAACATTGTCGAAAAGCAAGACGATATCGTCCGCATAATCTAGATCAACTAACCTTTCACCAGGCAGCACTTCAACGCCTACATCGTGAGATTCCGCAAGGGAACACTCCATGATAGAATCCACGACGAAATTGAACAAAAATGGGGAAATGGGACAACCCTGACGAACGCCACTTGTGGTCGGAAAGCTATCCGATAGGGCACCATAGACCCTGACGCGGCCTGTAGTGTTCGAGTATAGAGCACGAAGGATGTTCACATATTTCGTGGGAACACCTTTCCGCGCAAGTATTTCGAACAGAATGCATCGATCGACTGAATCGAACACACTCTTGAAATCGAGGAACACAGCTATTGTCGGTCTGCGGTATGCGTGGCGCTGCTCTAGCACCTACCGCAAAGTGATTATATGGTCTATACAGCCACGTCCTGGGCGGAAGCCGGCCTGCTCTTCCCTGATCCGAGATTCTCGTTCCGCCGTGAGGCGACGAACTATAATCGAGGCCAGTAATTTTGTCACAACTGGCGTTAGGCTAATACCCCTGGGGTTCGCACAGTCTGTGTGACTGCCCTTTTTGTATATTGCCACTATAATCGATTCGCTCCAATTAGCCGGCACACTCTCTTCGTTCCAGATACGTTCGAATAGGGAGGTCAGTGCTTTGCAGAGGACCTCACCTCCATCCTTAAATAGTGCAGGTGGGAGGGAATCCGGGCCAGCGGCACAAAAACGATTAAGGGCTGTGATCGCGTTTCGGACCTCGGCCTCCGACGGAGGCTCTAAACTAACCGTCCATGGCTCGTCCTGCGTCACCTGAGTAGGACGAGGTCCAGGAGCAGGGGGCCAGCTGAACTGAGCTTGAAAGTGTTCCGCTTAACGAGCCATACGGCGCTCCTTATTGTGTATCAGCGCACCCGCGCTGTCTCTGATTGTCTCACTGACGCCTGGTTTTCTGGGACCAATGGTGCGGATTAGCTGGAAGAGCTTGCGGTAATTGCCTAGTGCTCCTGCCTCCTCCATTTCTTGAGCCCTACTGGTCCATCAGTTTTCCTTGTCAGCACGTAGGCTCTGCTTTAGTTCACGCCTAATAGCCCGTCTGGTCACATTGTGTTCAGAGCCAGCCGGGAGGTGTCTTCTAGCTTCCAACAGGTTCACGGACCTCTCGGATGTCCAGTGACTGGTGCGGTGACGACTGATAGTGCCACAAGCAGATACTCCTGCGTCATGCATGGCGGCCGAGATCCTATTCCAGTGAAGCTCAGTGTCATTAGGACAAGACAGCGAGAGTTCGCTATGCAGTGCTTCTTGATAGGCTTTCTTGACCGAGGGCTGAGTCAATTTCTCCGTTGCCAATCGTAGGGGACACTTGGTGCGCCTTCCGGTAAAGTTCATGGAGAAACGACAGCGTACCAAGGCATGATTAGAGTCGACACAGGTACTCCAGTATGAGCGGCAATCTAGGGTGGAACTACGCCATCTGTAACTTATGGCTATGTGGTCAATTTGGGTCCATTGCTGGCCAGCTACAGGAGGATGCCAAGTGGCACTTTGGCGCCCGCTGTGTCTAAAAGCAGTGCTACTAAGAAACAATTGGTGCTCCGCACACAGTTGCAGCAGACTCTCACCGTTATCAGTCCGTTCAGAGTTAAGCCCACAATTACCACCCAGCTGAGCTTCTGAAGAGCTCAGACGCCCTACTTGTGCGTTCATATCCCCTGCAAGTACTATAATATCTGAACTAGTAGCACTGCCTAGTAGGGCGTTCAATTCGTGATAGGATGTGTCCTTGACAGCATTTGAACTGCAGTCGGTGGTAGCATAAGCAGAAATCAAAAACAAACAGCGTTTTGTTTTACTTCGCGAATTCACGTTAGCTGATGTCGTCAAACGGGCTGCACATAAACGGCTGTTCACCGGAATCCAATCAACCAACGATGACTCAATTTTGGAGCTTAGAATGGTACCTACACCAGCTTGACCCGTGAGTGCTGCATCGGCGTCTCCGGATACGTGCAACCAATAACGAGAGGATAAACTGGGTGCAGTTAATTCAACAACCCCATTAGGTTCATTGATCCTAGTTTTGGACACACCGCACACATCAACACCCAGTGTGTCCAAGGTGCGTGCGAGTGCAGCCTGTTGACCTGTTTGCCTTAGAGTGCGGACGTTGAATGTCGCCATGGAAACAGGATAGCGTGGCCTTATAAGAGACTTATGCCGATAGGCGTCCGATAGGTGCTGTGGGATGGTGGCTGCAGATGGTTCTACTCCAGTGGCACTTCTATTGCTCTCAATTAAGCTGGGAATTCTAGAAGGAAGGTTAGTTATGGGGGTCGGGCTGGGAGTCAGATAAAAAGGTGGAAAAGGAAGAAGGGAGGCGCCAGCAGTATCATGTTCTCGCTTATCCGCTGTATGCAGCAAATAAGGCGACCCTTGATAATCTGCGCGACGGCCGATGCAGGATGAAGTTTATGTTTGAAGAAAATGTCATGGTTGTATGTGGGCTGAGATACTGCCTGGGTGCCCAGACCAAGACAGGAGAACGATTAGGGTCCTCATCCAAAGCCTTGGGCTCAAAAGCCTGTCCGCAAGGCAGCGGAGATGTGGCACTGATTTAGTTTTACAGAAACGGACGCCATTTCATTACAAACTCCCAAACTAGAGGACCAGGAGACTGAGTTTGTCTGACCTCTCACCATTGTCCAACCTGGTAGGAGTAGCTCTCAAGGTGCCCGGAGGCATCACCCAGTATAGCTCAATGGGTCAATGAGGTACGGAAACCGTCGCACCACGTTAAGGTCCAGTCTCGTTGCGACAGCTTAAGAACACGTGAAATTATGTGAATCATTGAAGTGCCGTTAGGGATACATGCAACAAAGTATCTGGCGCGTTCACCACCTATCCGCTGTTGTATAACCACGGTTATATATGGGACGAAGAATAGCAGACAGGAAAGAAGGGTGACCTAGTGTAGCAACTAATGGACCTAAGGCAACATTCAGGGTCATGACGACTACACCTGCTCAAAAACACGCAGTCGTAAATGGCTGGCTATCACTTGGAAGTAAGTCGGCATCGGCGAAGCACCTTCCTTGCGGCTTCCACCATCCCGCGTCATAAGCAACCATTATCCCACAGATAACAGCATCAGTCAGTCCGACTACCCCATGTAAACCCCTCTTTCGGGTGGGACTAGTCTATGCAACTGCGGTGAGACACCCGGTCGCACCATCGTAACTGCGGAATCAACATCTGTATCAAAATCTGCGGACTGTGTACTTGAAGCGTTAAAACTAGCGATGTTTTTGTGGTCGTATCTCACTTAAAATATTGTCAGAATACTGCTCCACTTTTGCTTTAACTCTTCTGTGGCTCAGTCCGTTGCTGCGGATTTTTCTTGCAGGATAGCATTCAGTTTCAAAGGTGTGATAACGTTCAGCACATGGAATGAAGATTCTGATCGTCGTTCGGGGCTGACTAATGCTCCACACTGCAGTAATGAAGTTCCCCGCGCTGTACAACAGATGAAAGTGCTTAATCTGGGAGACCTCGTTTACAACGTCCTCTAACATTAATCAAATGCATCGCAAGCTGATAAGTGTGTCAGGTGGTGCCCGATCACACCATTCACTCCACTGCGCAGCTCGTTTCATATTTTGCCTTCACTTCTCATCACTTAACGATTACGGCACTGTGACTCGGACCAGAGACTTACTGGCTGACGTCACCAGGCCACGCTCAATGCTTGTCACATTGCTTAATGACTCATCGGAAAGGTCATTTTGTAGCACTCTGTGAATGGGTTGCGACACAATCTCACAACAGTCGCCAGCATTACGCCGACACACTGTACCTATGCTTCACTGCCACGCGACCACCGCCGGCCGCTCGTGGGTTGAGTATACCGCGAGGACCCCCGCCCTTACGCGGATTCGAACCGGTGACCTAAGTATTGCAAGCCAGGCGTGCAACCCTTTCGGCCACTGGCCGCGATTCACATTGAATTGAATCCCGGTCATATAGGCTGTATCTGAAGCATATTAGTATTCGCGTTCTTGCTCCCCCATGGGTTTGGTCGCCCCACAGTGTCAGCCAACTTGCGGTTGCATAGCAGCGATGAGTCAGTACAGATTGATGCATCGGGCACTTCCATCATCCACGTCCTGTTGCAATCAACTTCCATTTGGCAATGCGTAATTATCCTGAAAGTTCACTGTTCTGCCAAAAGACAGTCCGCGTTACTGGAGCGTATCAACGGGATTTGTGCCCTTGTGACGGGACTGCTTTTAAAATCGACTTACCAATGACTACGATCTTTTCTTTTTTCCAAAAACTTAATGATACTTCGTATGAAACTGTTTCTGATTTCGTTGTCCCATCACGCAGTCCGTCACTTGCACATATTCTTAAAGCAATAACAAAGCTCGAGGGTTTGGGACACCGTAACTGACCGTGGCAATCGTCCAAAGAAGAAAATGTTGGGAATATCAAGTAATATGTTATAAACAATGGCGTCGTAATGGATCTTCATTTCCTTGGCACATTGAATTGATGTCTATGAATATTTAGACTCTAAACGTAGCAGAATTGCTGACGATAAACAACGTACGCGCTTTTCAATTTCAGTTCTTCAGCAGAGTGACTAGTCAGCGTCAAAAAAACATGGCACCGATTTGAAGTTGTGGTGTACACTTATACGCAGCAACTCAGAGGTTGACGAAGATGAAATCTACCGGAAACTGGCGCCTGTTTGCCTGAGAACGCCGAAGTTATGCTCGTTTTCAATGATCTACGTGCCCTTAAGGATTACCTACCGGAGGCCGTCTCGGTGTCGTTCCCTATCGATGTGCTCGTATCGCTCGCTTTCCTCAGCTGTAGGCTAGGCAAATTCATTATACCGGTACAACACAACTGGTGAACTAATCGCGGTAATAGATGGGTAGTTTATCAGTACTAAGACACATCGACTACATCACTGGGCTTAGCTTTTTGAAAAACAGCTCCACTACTTTTCTCTCTCTATACTTACTGAGTAATTCTGAAGCATCATATATTTCTGAACTTACACGGATCTTTTGGGTGCACCTATGCAGGCTTATTACCTCGAAGTGGAACCACATCTATGAGTCCGGTGACTTCCCTATGCCTTCGATATTGCGCCGCAGACTCATATTGGTCTATCCACTCTGCTCTACAACACGCGGAGCGCTCTTACCCAATATCAGGCATCCTGTTTGTCTTAAAATGCCGCATAAGTATTATCTGGATTGTGGTCGAGTTAGCACTGCTTCTAAACTTCCAACCATGCATCATTTCTTGACCATTCCTCCGTGAGTCAACTCAGTTTGTGCGCAACTGGCTTCTGCTCCTGCAGAACGTGCAGTGGCCGCATGTTAACCCTTCGTTAAGTGTTAGACTGGCAATATACAGATTACTTACCATAATGATCTTCATTGACCAGAACGCCACTTTTTGTTCGGTTGTTCGCCACATCCTGTAACATCACCAACCGAGAAGTTTCTCTTCCTTTTGGTATCCATATTGCAACCGCGGTACAGAGACAACTGGGATACACTGGTAAAGCTTGTTTGCACCACACTGTACGGAGCGTGTGCAACTGCAGATTTTCCATACTTTTCAACATTTGTTCGATTCGCCACTATATTCACTGTTGTGTATTTAACCAAACAATGCATTTGATCCTGTTTTACGTTTTGTCGTCCTTTCTCGAGCGAGCTCGCGTTACCTAGAGTGCGTTGTCAATTCTATCGTCATTAACCCATCTTCCATTTTCACAGTCGATTTTCTTGCCCGCGGATTACCAGTGCATCAAGTGGCGCACTTCGTCATTCCTTTCCTTGCTCGACAGCTTAGTGGTAGATCCAGGCATCTTGGCTTCTACATTCATTGGACCGACTCTGTTCTGCGTACTCACGCAATGGCTTTGCGTCATGGGGCCGCCAGGATGGCTCTTGCAGAGCGTAACTCGTCCGCACAACTACAGAAGACACTGGACGGCGAGAGTGAAGGCTCGAAGACCCCTGGAATCCTAACCGAGCGTGGTGAATGGGCAGCTTGTCAGGCCAATTTGGTGCGTTTGCAAACGAGTTTGGAACAGGTCAAGGCAAATGTTGTTCAAAGGTGAGTGGCTCTGTACACATCTATATCTGTTTCCTACATACTGCATTAACTTTTAGATGCAACTTACACGTCCATTGCGACGGGAATGAACCTTAGCATGGTGCGATGTTCTATGTACCTCTTTGATTTATTGTGCTACGCTGGTTGACACTTTCCAAGTGGCTTCAGAGTAGCTTATACCAGACAACTCACTTTTCAGAGCTCAGGCAAACTCAGACCCCCTATTCAATCCTCTTCGAAGGCTGCGTAGAGGTCGATGGCCTACTTCCTTTAAAACCTAGCTATAAGAGACAACAGGTTTACTGGTTACAAGCTCACATCTTGATTAGGGTAGAGCGCAAGTGTCCCACACTGACTCTGACAGTGGGAGCGGACCACCCGGTGCTCATTGATTTACTATCTTGGTTCAAGTCAAGCAGCTCCTGGTCGAATTGGTGCAAACTCGCCTGAGGTTAGTGATGATGGAACTGCATAACACACTGTAATATTCTTCCGGTCCGGCGTTCCAAGCTCCTCCTCCATGTCCGAGTAGTATGACGGGTCGTAACTAAACTTGGAGCTACAACACAAAATAAATTCCTCGTAGGCGACTGGATGCTCAAATCACAACCGTCTAATAAAAGGCCAATCTTAAGAAGGCAGCGAAGGAAGCACGGAAGAGGGAAGGATAAATGGTACCGGATAAAGGCGACGGTGTAAGAGGAAGGTAACGACAATGGAAGCATACTTCTTCGACCTCTTACCTTTAAACGTGTTACGGTAACCCCCCCCCCCCACGGACCGCCTATAATTATAATACTATTGTCGAAAAATCACATATGGAGCGCCATAAACCCTTAAAGATTGCGTGTCACAGGCCCTAAGCAGACCCTGATAGGTCACTGTAATCACACTAACGAACTGCACTTTCTCTCTCCTTTCTTGTAAGTCAGTTATTGACCAAAGTGTTCCGGGTGGAGTCCCTGAAGTGAACCTCCTCCATTACCCCACTGACTTGCGGCTACGACTGTTGAGTCAAAGACTAGAGGTAGGGCACTTCGAGCAAAACCCTTCTTTTCATCGCCTCCAAACTTCTCAAAGGTATCATTATTCGACGAGTTACTGGTCCTTGTGGGAACGGAATTACGGAGAGGTAGGCCGGTTTCCGTCTTGGTTAAGGTTGTATCGACCACATAGTTACTCTTGGTCAAGTGTTAGAGCAGTGACACTTCCAGACGACTGATCATGGTGGTTCTCATTGAGTTGAAATCTGCTTTCGACTCTGTTGATCGGGTCAGCTGGTGGCACTGCCTATCCGTGAAGTGACTGCCAGGAAAGCTCTTTTTTACTCTGAAATCTCTTCACTGTGACTGAAGAGGCAGGATCAAGATCTACACCAGGCTGTCTTCTGAGGTTTCCGAACTGGATCTGGTCCCCACTGCCTTAAGAGTCAGGTTGAGCAAGCTGGTAGAGGTTTCTCTCGAGGGGCTAAGGTGCCCCGTAACTCGATGGTTCGAACAGGTGCTCAAATCGCCGCACCAGTCTTGTTGCTGCGTTTTTTTGCGAGGCCGATATAAGACCCATCTCCCTTAACCCCATGTGGGACGTTGCCGTCAGGCTCGGAATTAATCCAAAGATCTCTCAAATGACGTAATGTTCTGTATGTTAACTGCGATGTCTCTTTATACATTTAACGTTAGTTTCAGTGTTGCGTGGCATACATACCTTTCAATAACAAGGGCTCGTTTATGTCTCATTGTCGTAGTTCCCCATTGTCTCACCTAACATTTCATCGTCCTCTGTTTTATCGCGCGTATCCTGAGTTACGTCGTTTATTTTCAGTCCGCATAGTTGTCTTCTGGATGGATAACGTAGTCATCCGTGCAGTGACTAATCACATTCCGATTACATGGATCCGGTGTCTTCGGCGTAAACACCCACGCAATCTCAGTTTCATTGCATCATTGTTTACCATTTTTGGTACCGTTCCTGCAGCCGTACTTCCTCTTTGAATCCCATAGTTTTGTTTGCCAACATAGTCTAGTCAGCTCTGATGTACGTATGTGTACCCTTTCTCGTTCCCCTTCCCTTCAGATTTGAGGCAGTGGAACACTTGTGGCATTACCTCGAAAGCATCGCTCCTCTGGTCTCCTCTGATTACACAGCTGCGGATAAGTCTGTTTCTCGTGGCGAAAACGGCGACGTTTCTATGGTGCAGTCAGTTGATATTGACGATCCTTACTGAAGACGGGGGTTGAAAGTGTGCACCTCGGAGGGTTCACCTGCTCTTCTCTGCACCACATGTAACATAACATATCTCTATTGTATAAACTTTTCTCTGGAGCCTAATACTTGTTTACCTGTCAGTTTTTCTATGGTTGGGGTTTTGCTTAATTTGGTTGTCATTATGCCACTTTCCGCATGGTATCTAGTTCGGTCTCGTCATCCGATAATCTACTTCCTGATATCCCTTTGCGCACACAGTTTTGTCAACTGGTCACCACTTCTCCTGTCCTGAAGTGCTGGTTCTGTTTCATTCACTCTACTGAGTCGCTGCACACGATTTTTTCGAAATGACTTCACCTTGAGTCATTAACCGTGATGACATCCTCGGCAGATAGCGTGGACCTAGTACGTGTTCCCCCTACTTCACATGGTCGAGTCGCCATCCCGCTGCTGTCGAGTACGAAGTCGGTCGTGGAGTATGCAACGCGTTGCGATTCGCTCCCTGTTGATCCAATTGACCCAGCCTCCATAGTGAATCACGATCCAGATTGTGATTACATATCGCAATCCATCTATATCGGTAGTTTCAAACCTGGGGGTAACTACCCACAAAAAGGCTAAAATGGAATTTTTCTAGGGGTAAATATCAGTACTAGGATTATGTCATCAATCAGTTGCAAGACCAGACAAAAAACAAAACATCTGTTTCAAAACAGGTAAATAACTACCTGATCACCATTAACTAGCCACCATTGACTAATCAGTAGTGAATGATCAGTGAAGCAGACACTTCGGTATTAAATTTTGTTACCTAACATACATATACAAGCCTGCAGAGCAGCACAGCTAGATGGCAACTGTATAGACTTTCTCGTCGATCGTTGTTTTTTTGTGGCAGGCAGTCGTTCGCCGGATCGAATTACAGAGTTGTGTGATCATTAAGGTAGGAACATAGGTCTGCCGGCCTGGTAAAGGGGTAAGCTAACTTTTACAAGATAGAAGAGACAAAAAGGCGATTAATTTTCAGGACGTATCAATGCAGTGTGACGGTTGGAAGTTGGTCTTCAGCATGGACTTGGATGGTTGAAGCAAATGAGAGGCCACTGATATCTATTTATGTTCATTTCTGGACCAAAAATCAGTGCAAGGAATCGATTGAACTTGATGCACGATTTCCGATGTGCACTAGCCAAAAGTGCACCGAACATACCAGAAATTTTTGTAACCAATCAATAACAACTGTCTCATTAACGTACATCACCTCTTGAATATTTAAAACTTGCTCAAAAGTAAGTATTTTTCGATGAATAATTAAACGTACTTAAAAATAGTATTTATTTTACGTACTTTGAAGCAAAACTACAATAGTTAATTGGCTTTTTAAACTATACTTCTAGGGAGTAATTTAAAATTGAACTCGATTTGTGGGTTATAGTCTCAAAAAAGTTGAGAACCACTAATCAACACGATGAAGACTTTAAAATATCGTATATTACCGTGTATAAGCCGAGCAAGGTAAGTTGCATGAAGCAGGTGCTGGCAACACATTCTACTTGGGTGGGCAACGCCGCCTCAGCACCACGTGTTCATGGGGTCGGCTTTGCAGTATCCGATCGCCTCCATGGCCAGCTGATGGGTATACCAACAGGCATTAGCGCGCGACTGACGACTGTTCGCCTACGAATCGGAAGAGGTAAATTTGCCACTTTTATAAGCACGTACGGTCTGACCATGGGTTATCCTGCTGGCCTGCGTGATCAATTCTACACAGGTATCCTCCGTGATACGGTCTGTACCGAGGAGCGAACGATTGTTTTTGCAGGGTGATTTCAACGTGCGCGTTGGGCTTGATGCGTCGGTGTAATAATAATAATAATAATAATAATAATAATAATGTGTCAGCTGTACGCCGTAACGGCGCTTCGCTGCCGCGCGACCACCACCAGTCGCGCGCGGGCTGAGTATACCGCGAGGACGCCCACCCCTACGCGGATTCGAACCGGTGACCTTATGATTGCAAAGCAAACGCGCAGACCACTCGGCCACCGGCCGAGTGGACAGATGTCATCGGTCCGCATGGCATTGGTTCAGCGAATGCGAACAGTGGCCGGCTGCTTTCACTGTTTGACGCGCACGAACACTGGGTTTGCACTGAGTGCGAGTGAGATAGCAACTTGGACGCACCCACGGAGTGCTCACGCTCACCTGCTCGACTGTCATCGTACGTCAGCGTGACATGCGCGAAGTTCGCATGACATGTGTACTGCGTGTAGCTGAGTGTGGCGCTGATCACATGTTAGTGCGGATCAAACTGTACATATATTTTCTTAAATCTATGTCTTACACTCCCGCCGTGAATCGGCGTAAATTTAACATTCCCTCCGGACTGTGGAGAAACATATTGAGCTGGAGAAGGCGATGAATGCACGCCTGTGTGATGTGGAATGCATAGCCACAATGGGTGACCTGTGGCACCGCATTCGCGACCAGGTGACAGCTGCTGCCGAGGAGACCATCGGGCGCGCAAACTGTAAGCGGCCTGATTGGTTTGATGACAACAATGTGACGATTGGCGCATTGGTGTCAGAGAAGAATGCAGCATTTGCTGCATATGTTGCAGACCCCAGTGACTTGGGGAGGAGGAGTTAGTTTCGCAAACTTCGACGGCGACTGACCCGAGAGCTCCGTCGCATTAAAAATGCATGGTGGACGGAGAAGGCGAAGCAGATGGAATGCTACGCCGAACGCCGTCAACACAAGGAATTCTTTGACTCCTTGAAGGCGATGTATGGACCGAGATTGGAGCCGCTGAGGACACTGATCGATGTTAGTTCAGACGCTACCTGCACCCAGACTGCAGACGTAATGCAGATCTGGCGGAAACACTTTGACTGTCTCTTGAACAACCGTTCAGAGATCGACTGGTCTACATTGAACTTCCTGAAGCAGCACGATGTGAAGGCGGATCTGGCGGATACGCCGACACTGAATGAGACGCAGAGAGCACTTGTTCATCTGTGAAACGGCAAGTGTGCCGGTACCTACGATATCCCGCCTGACGTATTGAAGCACGACGGACCTGCGTTGGTGACTGCGCTGCACACTTGGTGCAACGCGTATAGATTGAGGAGGAGGTGCCTGCTGAACTGAAGGATGCGCTTGTGCTACCACTGTACAAGGGCGAAGGTAGCAAGCAATGTTGCACGAATTATCGTGTCACAACTTGCTGAGTTGTGTGAGCAAGGTGATTGCCCGAATCCTTCTTAACCGCCTCGTCAGTCAGGTTGTGGAACCTAACGTGGCGGAAGAGCAGTGTGGATTCCGTTCGGGTCGCAGCACTATAGATATAGTGTTTGCGGCTCGTCAGTTGCAGGAGAAGTGCAGAGAACGACGCCAGCCACTGTACTCGCTTTTTGTTTATTTCACCAAGGCAGTTGATACGGTGAACCGCGAGGCATTGTGGCTGGTGTTGGGTAAGTTTGCTTGCCCGAGTAAGTTTGTAAGTTTACTTGCATGCCTTCCCAGTGGTATGCGCTCAAGGTTGTAGATGAGTGGAGAGACCTCGAATGACTTTGCAGTTGTCTCTGGTGTGAAGCAAGGCTGTGTCTTAGCTCCTGCCCTGTTTAATACATATATTCATGCAATAGTGTCTTGTGCTTTTGATGCGGCTTGTGCATACGGTGTTCGTGTGGAGCACCGTATTGATGGTGGGTTGCTGAACATCTGTCGTTTCGGTGCGAGAACTCTAGTCTGTGAGACAGCTATCCGTATGTTGCTATTTGCTAACGACTGTGCATTGCGTATAGCGCGGATGAATTGCATCACATGACTAGTGCTCTGGCTTCGACAGCGGCCAAATTCGGGCTCACCATCAACACAAGCAAAACTGTCTGTCTCTTTCAGCCTTCACCGGAGGTGCAATCTTCAATAGTGCCGCGAATCGGCATTGGTGCTGAAGTATTAGAAATCACCTCCTGCTTCTGTTACCTTAGGAATGTGATGTCTACTTCACAGTGAGCTTCGTATCCTCCTGTCGAAGGCAGCGGCTGCATTCGGGTAGCTTGAGTACCAAGTGTGGAACAACCACCAGCTTACCATCGGCACGAAGCTATTGGTTTACAAATCGATGGTGCTGTCCGTTATCCTCTACGGCAGTGAAACGTGTACGATGTACCGGCGGGATGTGCGATATTTCTAGCGATTCCATCAACAGTGTTTGCGACGGATTCTGCGCATCGGTTGGGGCGACAGAGTTGCAGACACGGAAGTGTTGCGACAAAGTGGAATGTATGCAGTAGACTGCATACTTTTGCTGAGACACTTGTCGTTTCAAGTGTTTGGCTGTTGCTTGATATCCCCTGTGTGGCTGCGCTTGATGTACATGTTGACAAGGTGCCTACCTGTCTATTACCCACTACCTCGTCCATACTGGCTCCAGGAGACAGTTGGTCATTGCTGGAGGGGACGGGGTGCACGGTCCTTGTGGCCGTGCTAAGCTCGAAGAGTGGTTGCATGCACTCAGTGTGGAGCGGACTACGGTCCAGCCACCGCCTTGTGTGCGCTTTATGCCCCAAATACAGCATGCTTGTGTTTGCCTGTGAAGGAGTGTGGGCCGGCTCCGTTGATGAAACGTGGGTCCAATTTACATGCCTCCCAGTCTTATTCCTTCGGGTTTACACTGGATATGGGGTGTGTGGTTGGAGCTTTGGCTGGTACAGCGCAAGCCACCCATGGTCCCTGTGGCTGGCCACAGTGACAGGCAAATCCGATACCGGATGCCGCCTAAGGTAAGCGGATTTGTATATATATCGAACAGTATTACTTTGCAGCGTCAAATTTGTCCAAAATGTTCAGTCCAAGGATCAGCAGTAATAGAAACGAAACGTCCCAGTAACAGGCGACCAGTATCAGAAACTGTTAGGAGATTCTGACTCGGGTTCTAGTTCCAAAGCATTCGAGTAATTTTACTATAATTGTGCAGCGTTTGAATATGTGAGCCTATAAAATCTACCGGTACGTACTGTTCTGTCATGTCTTTTTCCAGTGTTATTTTGTGTGTTGGTGTTGGTTTCTGTATAGTCAGTATGTTGCTGTTAATGTCATCCGTCGCGAAAGTCAAGTGTGCAACATATCGAGAATTTTCGACACAAACATCGGCACTTCAAGTCCCTGCCTGGGATACCGTCTGTCACTATGAATTGGTTCTAAGGCGT